CTCTCCATGAGTTGGTTTTGAAACCCAGTAAGGGATTCTGAGATACATTACCAAGGATATTATTACAAGATAAATCATTTGCTTCATTGAACACATACAACAATGCATATTTCCACTGAGATCAGTGACCTTTGATGTGTATCACCAGTGATCAGTCAAGTAGAAACAGTCGAAATATTTTATCAGTTTTTCTCAATTTTTGCATGATATTTTCATACAGGACATCTGTTGTTCAAACTCAGGGAAGACTTTATACTGATGAACAAGGTGACCAAGTTTGATGAAGTTTGGAATAGAATTAGTAAAGTTATCATGCACACAATAACAATTATTAACGATGACGACGACGACAACGCCGGACAAAATCTTTCCCTTAATATACCTTTCCCTTCCATCTTTGATGGTACGGGCAAGGTAAAAACCATATTCCTGACATGGTTATATTCCAGCTATATTACTAGAAACAAAACTATATTTCTTAAATTTAATAACTAACTGGGACTGTGCCATGCATGGCTTGTTAATAATATTTTTTAGCTCCGTTGTCGACGAAGTCGAGCGGAGCTTATAGTATTACTGATTGTCCATTGACTTCTTAAAAACCACAAACTGTATAGCTGTGAAACTTTCTAGGAAGGTATCTTGGTTGGTTCTCTCTCAGATTTGTTCATTTCGTGTGGATATTTTTGTCATTTTTGGTCAAAAATTCTATTTTCGACTTCTTGAAAATCGCTAGCCCAAATGCTTTGATACTTGGTATGTAGGTACCTAGGATGGACCTCTCTCAGATTTTGTTCATTTTGTGATGATATCTTTAATTCTCTAATTTTCATGAATATTTTTGGTAAAAAGTGATATTTTCGACTTCTTGTTAAAAACTGCAAGTCTAATTGCTTGATATTATATATACTACATAGGTACTACAGGTAGACCTCTCTCAGATTTGTTCATTTCGTGATGATTTTGTTCTTCAATTATCTAATTTTAATGAATATTTTTGATAAAAAGTTATATTTTCAAATTTTTGTTGAAAACAGCAAGTCTGATTGCTTTTAAATTAATGCTATACATATTGTTCATTTTCTGATGATATCTTCAGTTCTTTAATTGAAATGTGCATTGATAACAGCAGAGCTATCTCAGCCGACAGTTCTTCGAATTCGATTTCTTCGCATTTCATAGTCTAAACAGTCTCCTCCAGTTATCTATTTTATATTTGACTGCCACAAACAATGCATGTTGTTTCCTTGGTTGGAGTGACTGTTCATAATGTGAACAACCAACGCATTAAGGGGGTCATGAAATTATTTGCATACATTATGTTAATATAATTTATTTTGTGAGGTCAGCATCAACTAGAAACCTGCAGACGGGGACAGTCTCTCGGGACTATAGTTCGCGTGAAATGGTTCGCACTTCCCATCAAACGCCTTTGCCGTTCGTATGTCTAGGAAACAACATTAGGCCCGAGGACTGTCGTCAGTCTACAAAATAACTTGTGACTTCAATCAAAATTGCTCCTCTGTATCAAAGTAATTGGACTTGTAGTTTTTAAAAAGTCAAAATTGAACTGTTGACAGACTGTGAGCAATCATTTTATGGAAAGCTTCACTCTGCCATCCAAAGCAGAGTTAAAAAATAACACTAATACAATATGCTTTGTCTTTACTCTACCCAGAATATTTATTTCACATTTATGCATATTTACAGTAACAGAAACAAGAAGACACTATTTCCATAAAGCTTGGTCCACCACTACATATAACCTATTGATCAGATTCACCAGTAATTTATCACAACAAAATAATCTGTTGATATTTCTGTACAGTAATTATTGTGATATATCAAAATTGACTGTACAGTTCTACATTTCTAATATTCACATAAACTGACCACACTATTGTCATACAAGTCATTGACAATGACCGTTCAAATAGTTGCCAGTCATATTCAGAATTCACATACCGGTACACAAGTTCAGTCAAAATTTACAAGAATATACGATTAGAATGAAAAAGTTGAGAATCAATATCTGTGGGAGAAATGTACATTTAAGTTCAACAAGCAGCCTGTCGGCTGAGATAGCTCCGCTGTTAGCAATGCACATTTCAATTAAAGAACAGAAGACATCATTAGAAAATGAACAATATGTATAGTACCAAAGCAATCGGACTTGCAGTTTTTAACAAGAAGTCGAAAATATCACTTTTTACCAAAAATGACAAAAATATTCACCAAAATTAGAGAATTGAAGATATCATCACAAAATGAACAAATCTGAGAGAGGTCCACATGTAGTACCAATATATATAATATCAAAGCAATTGGACTTACGGTTTTTAACAAGAAGTCGAAAATATCACTTTTTACCAAAAATGACAAAAATACTCACCAAAATTAGAGAATTGAAGATATCATCACGAAATGAACAAATCTGAGAAAGGTCTACATGTAGTATCTATATATGTAATATCAATGCAATTGAACTTTTGGTTTTTAACAAGAAGTCGAAAATATCACTTTTTACCAAAAATTACAAAAATATTCACCAAAATTAGAGAATTGAAGATATCATCAAGAAATGAACAAATCTGAGAGAGGTCCACATGTAGTACCTATATATGTAGTATCAAAGCAATTGGACTTGCGATTTTTAACAAGAAGTCGAAAATATCACTTTTTACCAAAAATGACAAAAATATTCACCAAAATTAGAGAATTAAAGATATCATTACAAAATGAACAAATCTGAGAGAGGTCCACATGTAGTACCTATATATGTAATATCAAAGCAATTGCACTTGCGGTTTTTAACAAGAAGTCAAAAATATCACTTTTTACCAAAATTAGAGAATTAAAGATATTACAAAATGAACAAATCTGAGAGAGGTCCACATGTTATACCTATATATGTAATATCAAAGCAATTCATCAAAATTTGAGAATTAAAGAGAGAGAGGTTCACGTGTTATACCTAGATATGTAATATCAAAGCAATTGGACTTGCGGTTTTTTACAAGAAGTCAAAAATACCACTTTTTACCAAAAATATTCACCAAAATTAGAGAATTGAAGATATTATCATGAAATGAACAAATCTAAGAGAGGCCTACCCAAGGTACATATAAACTAAGTATCAAAGCATTCGGGCTTGTAGTTTTCAAGAAGAAGTTGAAAATGTAAAACATTGAGACGGGCGACGACGGACAATCACTCGTATGATAAGCTCTGCTCGACAAAGTAGACAGCGAAGCTAAAAAAACATCTTGAAATACCACTCAAAAGAAGTTTGAAAAGAGTATCATCTGGGTAAAAATATTATATTTGACAAAAGGTAACCTACAATATTGCTGGTAAGTGTCAAACCTAATTTTGTTGTGAAAACAACATGTATTTTCATCCTACCATATTAGCAAATGCGAATTCCAAATATGGAATGATTACACGCATAAGCATCTTTTAATAATAAACAAACTTGGCTGCCATCAGGTTTTGACCGGACTACGCACAAAAAAGTTCGCTGATTTTGTTCCGATGTAGGTATGAGGCTCCAATTTTTTTTTTTTATAAATGACCATTTATATTATATTTATTTGTATTTAGTTTAAATACATCAATTTTTTAGTCTTTCTTAATGGCAAGAAAAACCAAAAAATCAACATATTCAAACTAAAATACAAATACATATAATGAAATGGTCATTAAAAAAAAATTGGAGCTTCATACCTACATTGGATTTTAATCAGATTGATTCTGTTCTAAACTTTTTGGATTTCGGCATTCCCATGATGTATCGGGGGGGGGGGGGGACAAAGATGTAAAATGATACGGTTATTACAAGGATACTGAACAGTATGCACTCTGACAGTACGCCGTCGCATAACCTCTGCTGCATTTTGGGCGATACTTGCGCTTTTCAGTATCCTCGTAATAACTTCATTTTGTAAAGGAAATACATAATGTAATAACCAGTATTATGTAAAGGCAGTACATAATGTAACTAACTGAATTAACATGTACAAAGTGAGAATGAAATGACATTGTAGCACTGTCTAAATTTATTGCTGCTATTTTGGATAATGTTTGTGCGTATTGTTGTAGAGTTCACATCAGTGCTCTCACACTATTATATCCCTTTCTCAAATGTACCATAGAGGGCACTAAATGTGGAATGCAGTCTTGTAGATTATTTTCTGTTCCCCACTGCCAGCATACTTAAAACATTTTGATCAGACTTAAAACTTCCACACTGGTGGCCTGTACCTTTGACAAATCAAATTGCAGGAATTTCACAATTATTTTATTTGATGTGCCAATGTAGATGACAGAAGTAAGGCTATGGTCAGAATTGGACATATTTCAATGATCTAGTATACACAAAATGTGTAAAATGTCTTTGGGGGGGTATGTGAAGATACACTTCCAATAGAATAAATACGGCAGGCAAAAGTTTAAGACATTCTGTTGCATCATTGAGACAATACAGAACTTATAATACTTTTATTACTTTAGCCTGCAAGATTTAATTGTAATTAGAATCATCGTTATTTACACAGAAATTCAATGAACTCTTTATCTTACTTTGTAAGGATGCATGATGAACACATCAGCCATTGTCAATTCTGACCGTGCATGGTTATTTTTGTACATACAAACTCTGACAAACAATAAACACATTGACATCATAATGTAGTGCCATATGTCCCAAAAGTATTGAGTAAATTTGTGTGGCCTCCAATGTGTTAATTACTTTTTTCTTGGCATAGGGCCTCTATTTTTCAAATCAAAAGGTTCTGTATCGGGTGTTTGTGGGAGTGTTCTACGTTGTCGATTTCTTGGAGATGATTTCTTGAAAGCTGCTCGTGAAACACCAGGACTACTACGTTTTTTGGCATGCCTACGATGTAGTGGCCAGGACTCTATATGTGTATTTGATATGGTCGCATTAAAACTGGGTTGACTTGTTATCATTTGGGATGTTGCAATGTTTTCTTGGCAAGGTACAAATGGCGCTGTACCAAACGGATCAATTTCCTCAAACCACTCATTATGAAAACTTGCATCATCAGTGGCAGGATTAGATGTTTGTCCCGAAGACTTGTAATGATCATCAAAACTTTGGTTTATTGCACATTCCTGATATTTGGATTCTTGATTCCTTGATTCAGCTAAACAGCTGAATAATTGATGTTGAAATTCATCTTGTGATCTCAGCTGAGAGGGACTGGATTTGCTAGAATCGGAGCTGTCAGAAGAATGTCGTCTGTTACCTTTAGAAGACCTAGATGCACCACTACCACTACGTTTTCTGTATCCAGTAGGGGTAGTGTGTCGGATACCACTGGGTGTGCTTACTACATGGAGTCTTCTAGAGACACCAGTATGTCCTGAAATCATATAAAATATGACAGATTTATAGATAATCACACCTTGTAGCCATGTTGTTTCAAGTCTATGGTCAGCATCTTCTAAATGTCACAAGGCTAACACTAACGAATTGCATTCTCTCAGGTGGGATGAATTTCAAGTTTAATTTGCTTTTTGGTGACATTCCATGTTATATGAATTTTCTTAAACATCTTTGTAAACACAGAAATGAAAGTAGTATGAATTCACCATGAGATCTATTGTCAATTTTATTTTTATTAAAAGGGAGCAGAGGTGTGGCTTTTGACACTCTGTACATGAAATGTGAGATCTATGAATCAATTCTGTCGATAAAAACAACTTGTATGTGCTGCGAAATGCCCTAAATATCGGGTATAAAACGGCTGTGAAGCAGACGACAAACCTCCGCTTTTCCTGGCGTCATTTCGCCTCTAGAGGGCCAGTCAAATGACGTCATCAGTGAACACTGATAATTGAACCCATTCATGCTAGTATGTCAATCCCATAGAAAGACCTTGTTAACTGACTACTTAAAAGTTGAAACATGGCGAAATGTTGTGCGTATGAATGCCATAATGATTCATATTAAGTTTCTCGAAATCCCAAATAAAAAATCACATTGTTGGTTGCGAGAAATCGGCAGAAGAACTAATCTGAAAATGAAGACACGAACAGCACTCTAGCTATAGTAAACATTGAGTAAATAAATATTGTTTGAGTTAAAAACTAAATTAGAAATTTAATAAACGCTAATATCACTTGAACTACAGTAATCATTTCGCCCAACTTCCCACTTTTAATCCGCACTGTATTTTCCGACCGGAAAACGACCGCATTTTTATCGTAATATTTCTCTCACCGACCCATTGAAAACACTGACCGGTCGCCCAAACACTGGTCACTTGCACAGGAGTTATCGAAATAGTGGTTTTGAGTGATACAGTTTGGGGATACAACGGGTACTAACTATTATTAAATTCCAAACTACTCTTCACATCTATACCACATTGTATCAATCGCGGACGAAACTTCACCTGTGTCCAATATTAAATAACTGACTTTGCGTAATTATTAGGAAAGCGATATATTACAATGTTGAAATTTTTAGAGCCGGTACAACATTGTAAACAAATTTGCGTAATTAGAAAAGCAGCGCACTGAGAAAACGACCTCAAAATATACAAGTTTGCGTACAGCACCGTCAGAACTAATAACAATTTTACAAGATCGACGCGCGGAGCATTAAAGAAAAAGACTGCTAAGATAACGCGCCTGTTCAGTGCGTGACTTGGGGGTCAAACTTCGGTCAACACACACTTGATGTCAGCATCGCCGCGCAGTAAGTTACGCAATGAAGTACTTAAAGTTCAATTGCATCCCAAA